ATATAGAAAACAATACGACATAGGACTTATATAGTAAAATAGGCAGAGCTATTTTATTTTTTTTTGTTGCATCTGCTAGTTTATGTAAGCCCGAGACAAATGCCTCAGTGTATACATACATTTTTTTTTATACATATTTCCCCCCCCCTATTTCCATCTCATTTGCTTTGTATCTGTTTTGATATGGACATTGTCTGAAATAAAGAGAAATTGATTGATTGATTATCTTATTTATAATATAGGCCACACACATGTTTGAAACTTTTGAAAAAATATGTATAAAAAAAAAATGTATGTATACACTGAGGCATTTGTCTGAGGCTTAAAGAAAAAGAAAATCTGTTCATTATATGGTGTTAATTGGCCTATTATTTATTATCATTTAATTACTTCTGTAATATTGTTTACACTTATAATCGTAGACCTATTATTCATCATCAATCAGGCTTTTTCTAATATCGGTAACGGTACATTTATAATTAAAATTTATAAAATTTACATTTTAATTATTTTTTTCAGTAAATAGACCTATAGAATATAGAACAAACTAGTAAATATATCCTCGAGTGTACAAATCATTTGATTCCTACCGTAAAATGTACATTATATTATAGTATCTAAATAATGCAATGCTTGGATTGAGGGCGTCATCAAATTGTATGGCGGGTCACTTCAAACGACATGTAAAAAATCACAACTTTCTTTGTTTCTTATATTTTTTTGAGTTTTTTTAATTATCAAAACAACTTTTTGTATATGTGATACATAATAATATATTATAATACAGATACTAATTACCATATTTGTACATTTATACATTTCTTTTTAAAACGAAGGTCAACGGCAGCAGCGTCGTATCATATAATTTGCCTCGTAACGTCATTTCTCGATGTAAACAATTCACGACGGTAGGTAGGCAAAATCTGCCTTTAAAAACTTGATTTTCTCCGTAAATCCCAACTTTCATGCGATGCAACATCAATATATGATGTTTACATAATATATAGAACCTATGGTGAGAATTTTGTTGACTACAACTCTATACAACTTGTTGACTTTGTTGACTATAACTCTATGCAACGGTTAAGGTGATATTTTACTGGACTAAAGCATTTTCATCATGGTTTTATTTATTGCAAACATATTCTTTCACTATCAATACACATTGAGGCCCTTCATTTAGGTAAAACGATCTATCTTAAATGTTCTTTCTATTTGAGTTGGGACTATTATGTGTTCAATTAACTTAGAAGGCAAAGGAGGACTAGCACAAGTTCTCACCCTCAAAAATGTGCGCGTGAAGCATGCAAATTTTTGTTTTTGGAGTTTAGGCTTATGTTATAGGGTGTATATGGCCACACATGTTTTTTTTAAAAACTGAATAAGCATTTTCATTATGGGTTTATTTATTGCAAACATATTCTTTCACCATCATTACACATTGAGGCCCTTTAGGTAAAACGATGTATCTTTAATTTTTTTTTTCTTGAGTTTGGGACTATTATGTGTTTAAATAACTTTGAAGGGTAACCCTCAAAAATGCGCGTGAAACGCGCAAAAATTGTTTGTGTTTTTAGTTCAAATTTCGTCGGAATTGATCAAAACTTCCTAAAATGCTATTTTTAGAGGAAACTGGCCTACTTTAACAAGAAATGCGCGTGAAGGCGTGCAAAATTTGAGATTTTTAGGCACTTTCAGGGGGTGAAAAGGGCATCTTCAAGGGGTGGGGAAGGATTTTCTACAGATGGATATTTTCCCCTTGTCCCCCGGTGGTTAGATCAATGGAGCTATGGACACTTTTTGAAGTGGAGAAGGGGTTGCAGGGTGTTGTGAGTCTGGTCATTATATCTTCCTTTTTATCTTGACTTTATTTTCCCCCCCCCCTTCTTTCTCTTTCCCTCCCTTTCCCCTCTTTCTTTTCTCTTATTAGGCATTTTTCGTTTTGACTACACGGCCAGTCTACTACGAACTAATAGAGCGTAACAGACATCTGCGCATGCTCACAAACCTTACTGGCTAAATCGGCGTTGTGACAGCTTCCGCGACAACCCCAATTTCTGAATTTGGCGTAGTGGCGACTACCCTAATACTGACCAATCAGATCACCGGATTGTTTAGCAAACTGCTGGTAACTTTTTTGTTGGGGGTTGCAATTTTCATCGCATCCGCGATCGAGCATTATTCGTTTATAATGAATTAATTATTTAAACAAGTGAGTAATTAAATGTTTTATATAAAGGCCTATTTATACACATGCAATAAATGAGGAATGAATAGTCACAACATAAATTTAGGTAAATCAGGGGATAGTGAAAAAAAAGAGCCTTAGTTAGGCTTAGGCTAGCCTAGCCTTGTCAGGGTGGATTTCGGGTAGGAGAAAACACATTATCTGGTGCCTCTAGCTAGGGCATCTGCCCTTGATATCGTGGATCAAGCCTTGCTATATAAATTAAAATACCTCTGTTTAAAATTGTTATTTATTTGTACATCATCGTTGCATTTGGCAAATTGCCTGAGCAGGCCTGACACCCCTCTTTTCCCGGTAACGAATCTTTTGACACCTAGGGCCTAGGCTAGGCTGGCCTAGTCCTGTAAATAAACGAATAAAGAAATTGTGTAATAAAATGCCTCTGGCAGAACTCGAACCTGCGAACTCTCGCTGTCAAGGCGAGCGTCATAACCATTACACCACACAGGCTTCATGGTTAAACAGATTCAGATACCACCAGATACACTCCATTACACAATAAGTACGGCTAGAAACAAATAATTGCATATGCTGTAATATAAATCAAGAGTTAGGGCCTTCGTTTATTTCGTTGAGAGCTATGCTACACGATGTATTATTATGTCCTTTATTCGAACACTGTATTTACCTTTCTTTGATGATTTATATTCCGCATGTTGTTTTTTGTAGAGCCAACTTCATGAACTGGAATGGTGAAAAGGATGTTGAACTATTACGCGAAATGGCTGTGACAAATCCTTTTATGCATAAAAAGGGAACCAGAGAGCGAGGGCGTTTATGCGAGAATGTTGCAGAAAATCTGAACAAAATAGATGGCTACAAAGTAGATCAGCGTAGCGTAAGCGAAAGGTGGGCAAAACTACGGAAGAATTTATTGAAGAAAAATGCAAATGAAATAAAGGCCTCTGGGATATCCCCGGAAATGTCAGAAAGCGATGTACTAGTCAAAGAGTTAATAAACCAAGAAGATGATGCAGAAAAAATAGAGTTGAAAAATGATGAAGAGAAGAAAAAGCAGGATGGAATAACGATGCGAAAACAGGCAATGGAGACTTTTGCAGAAACCAAAAAAAGGTGAGATATTTATTTTTAATGAGGGATTGTTCAATTCAATAATTTTTACAAGTTTTTACAACTTTACTCTATGTGGAGGAACAAAAGAAAATTCTACAAATGCGTGGACATTTCAATATTAAATAAAACATACTACAGAATGAAAAGAAAGCCCATTTGGTGCATAGATAATTGTAACTACATATGTGATGTAACCAAGTCTACTACTTACTTTATGTTTTAATATTTTTGCATTAACAAAAAAAAACAAAAAAAAAAACTAGGGCTTGAAATGGTGTAATGTTAATGAATGTTGATTCTGGTTTATATCAAAATTAATGAATGTCATGTGTCCATAAAATTATAGTATTTTATGGGATTTTCTTGTAAATTTTAATTTGTTTTTTATGTTACCAGAAAAAAAGAAGAAAGTACCGATTCAGAAGAAAAGGATAAAAAAAGAAGATCAGGTACTGACACATTGAAATTTCTCCAAGAGAAAATGGTAATTGATGCAGAGTATAGAAAACAAGAGCTAGAAATGAAGCAAAACAAGTCTGAAAAAAGGATGAAAGCAGAGCTGGAATTAAAATGCGAGGAGATGGAACTGAAGAAAAAGGAGTTGGAGGAGAGAGCAGAGAGAAGGAAAATGGATGCAGAAAAAGAGAAAAGGGAGGCAGAAGATAAAAAAAAAAGACAGATGTAATAATGGAGCAGTTAAAGTTACAGAGCACCCAAATGAACATGCTCATGCAGTTGTTGTTGATTAAGGAGAAGTAATATCTAGCTATCAAATAAGTGGACAGGTATTTTCAATTTTCATCTGGCTCTTGAGTTGAACAGGCTGTTGGTCTTGCGAGTACAGTACAGTATTATGTTTTCGACTGCTTGGACATGTCTACATTAAAAAAAATACGTAAAAAAAAATACAGTAGAATTTTAAAAAAAAAGATTCTAAAATATGAATAAAAATGTTGACCTTTGATGTTGTATATGTTTAGTCATGTTAACATTAATGCAAACCTTTGTTGTTTGGCCTCACTTTAAATGTAAATAATGTAGGCTATTCTGTTGTGAATTTTTCACAGCTGGTTTTTATACTGTATTTTACTTTGGTTTTGACATTCAAACCTGGAATAGTACGGAAGAACAGTATTGAATAAAAAGAGATTTGTATTTATATCTGATATCCACTTTTATTGTGTCAACACACCAACAAACAAAATTCACTGAAAATAATCATATAACTTGGGAGGACAGAGTTCAAGGTAATTACATGTTGTGTTTCTGTATAGGCATGTGTGTGCATTTTGCAGTAAAGCAGAAACAAGATACATTTTCCCCACAGCACTCATTCCAACTTTTTGTGATTTTTTAAAATCAGTGAATTTAAAGTAATTTAATATGTCCCCAAATAACCATTCCACAGAAACACGCACTTCACTCATTGCCTTATTGTAGTCCTGTTCTATTGGTGATAGGTTGCCTTTAAATGGTGCTTGAAGTTGAGGTCTTATAGGATATGCTGGGTCCCCGTAAATACACATGATTTCATTGTTTGTATCAACAGACATTTGCAATTGATCCAGTAAGCCTGACTCACGCAGCATAAAATTGTCATGCCGTCTCCCTTCAATAGGACCGTACATGTTGGCAATCATGCCGTTTGCTGCCACCAGAGACTGAAACTTTATAGAATGTAGCCTTTTATGACCATTAAACAGAACCTGTTGATTTTCTTGAGGTCTGCACACTGGCCTAATGGTTCCATCAATGAAGCCCCAGCAATTTTTAAGGGGAGCTCCCTTTTCAAACACTGCTTGGGCATACTTTTCAAGATTGACTGGTGAAAGCCATGGTTGATCAAGGTCTGTTAGAAGTCTACTAAACATATTGTATATGTGGTTTGTCATCTGACCAGTTATTAAACAAAGCTGGGGTACGGGCCTAGCAAAAGTTTTAATCATGTCAACATATCGGCAAGGATATGCATATCGTTGCAACATTATACCGAGTGCTTCAATTCCTTCAATTTTCGAGTTGTTTCTACATTTAACTTGATCTGGAATGTGAAACACATCTTTCAAATGGTGAATATCCTCTTTGAAGAACCTGAAATAAAAATTAAAAAGGCTGTACTTAAAAAATAAAAACAATTGCAATGACTGAGCAAGTTGAAAACTAACATCATTAAAATTTTCATGATTTATTTTCTTGGGAAACGTATGACTTTCACCATTTACATACCCGAAAAGTGGTCACCTAGAAAGGGTCCCATCGAGTGATTGGAGCCGACGTTAAGTCCTTGGAAGGTATTCTTAATGATTCTTTACTTAAGAAATTTAATTCAATTATGCAAGATTCATCCCATCCATTATTTTCAGACATTATCATAAATAGATCGGGAAGGGTTAGACATAAACAAAACAAACATCCACAAACCGTTTTAAAAATTCAGCATTGTACATCGCTTGTATTTAATCAAAATTTCAGAAGATAACTGCACAGGACTCAAATTTTTATTTTCTAAGAAATCTTTATTTAACACTCTATATGTTTATGAACGATTCTATGTCATGTACAACAAATATCTCAGAATGTATTATTTTGACAATAAAGTTGACTTGTATCTTGTACAAGTATGGTGGCCACCTACAACCGGGCAGGCGCCCACCCCAAGGATACAGATAACATTGCAAATCACAACTAGGGCCTAGGGGCCTAGGCTAACTAACTAGGATAAGGGCCTATGCTATAAAAATACAATATTTTGGGACCTAATTAGAGTAGACCTCTAGGCCTAGGGTATGCCTAGTCAAACAACAAAGTCCCTAGCTGTGAGCAAGCTTGATGCGGTACGTAGCTAGGAATAAATGTACTTTAAATACCTAGGCCTAAGGCCTATTCTATATATGGGTGGGGGTCTGCGTCTAGTCTGTAGCTATACTAGGGCCTAGGCCTACCTACCTGAAGTAAGCATTACATTCATCGTTATTTAATGTTTCCGGCTTAAACTTGTTGTACTTCCACCATTCAAGGTCTGCGTTTGTCGGTCTGTTAATTTCAGACAGCAACATGAATTCTAAATCGTCGATTACATCCAATGAGTAGCATAAGGCAAGATTATCAACAGTTCTATGAAGGTTAAGCCTGGTTTCCTGTCGACGTAAGAAGGCAGATTTACTTACGATTATGTCGTTTTATCGTAAGAAAATGCGATTTGACAGGAAACCGTTTACGACTAGTGTGTTGTAAAATCGACGTAACGTAAACTAAAATCGCCGCAAAACAGTTTTGGACAGGAAACCGACGTATTGAATTTTCATGTGATACATCGATTTAGTGACTTTTTGTTGAATGAACTCGCATACGTTGCGTTGCAAACGATTCTTATGAAAAGTTGACTCCAAGCGGAAACGTATGCTGTCTGTATATCTTGCCTATACAACAACATTGTCGACGAACTAGAAATCTCATTGACTCTTACGTATTTATTATGAAATGGTTAAAAAGAAGCATATCCTCCACATTTCTCAAACACAATGATAGGCATGTAAAATCTTATAGATTTTGTTAGCCCTATACACAATGGCGGCTCTAGAATATAATTTATGGGGGGGGGGGCTAAGGTGTCCGACTGGGGGGGGGCCCCCTAAGTATTTATGGGTGTAACTATAGCGCGCATCGTTATCCGAGGGCCGGATCCGGGGTATGGGGTATGGGAGGAATTGCTTGACTTCTTGATTGGCTGGGAAAGGAAAACTAGGCCTATTTTTTATTTATTTTTTTTTTGGTCCGACTGCCCGACGACCTTTGGCTGATGGGTGGGGAGGGGGCTTGACAAGACCGATGGGGAAATTACCAGACCGATGGGGGGTTA